GTAGCTTCACCATATGCCACAGTCAACATTCGGAATGCGTCCGCGCACTTAATTTTGTTTTTCACACAAAATTTGATAGATTCTTTGATCCATTTTTTGGAATAGGCAAAAATCGAAGACGAGCCAAAACACGTCCAAGCAAAACAGCTAGAATAAATTATCAAAGATTCAAAACATTTGAAGCAAACATTTTGAAGCGAACCAACTATCGAGACATTTTCGTATATTTTCAAACAAATTGAAGCGTTGTTCAGCGTGGGCGTGTCCCATTGATGCGAATAGATGATAATCGGACGGAGCCAAGTCTGGAGAATAAGCCGCATGCGTTAGTATTTCCCAACTGAACGCCTCGATCGTTTCCCTGACCCGTTTTGCTGTGTGTGATGGGGCATTATCATGGAGCAAAATGACTTTGTGTTGCCTTTTTCCATATTCCGGTCGTTTTTCACGCAATGCTCGATTTAAATCGATCATTTGCTGTTGGTAGCGATCAGTGTTAACGGTTTCACCAGGTTTTAGCAGCTCATAATAGATTACACCCTTCTGATCCCACCAAACACAGAGCATTGTCTTCTTTCCAAAGCGATTGCAGTGGATGTCGATGGTTCGCCTGGATTCACCCATGATTTCTGACGCTTAGGATTCTCAAAATATATCCATTTTTCATCACCTGTCATGATACGATGGACTTTCTTTTGTATCTGTCGAGCAGCATTTCACAAGTGGTTTTTCGATTTTCTTGCTGTCTTTCATTCAGTTCATGCGGAACCCATTTTCCCACTTTCTGAATCATGGCTTTCAAATGAATTGAGACAGCTTTCTGCGTCACATTCTATTCATCCGCGAGTTCTTGTTGAGTTTGAGTATCATTTTCATCCAATAAGGCTTGCAATTCGTTGTCTGCGAACTTTTTCGGTGGTTTCCCACGCTCTTTGTTTCTCCCGCCAAAATCACCACTTTTGAATTTTTTGAACTACTCGGAACACTGTGTTTTACCAAGAGCATGTTCACCGTAACTTCGACAAGTATTCGATGCGATTCTGCAGCAGTTTTCTTCAAATGATAATAAAAAACTAATGCTCTCCGCAAATCGTAGTTCGTAGGAACAAAACTCGACATGTTTAAAGTTATAGAAAAACATACCGGTGTATGGAACTTGGGTTGTTGTGTGTTGAAAATCTTCGTCAGCTGTTAGAGGGAGATGATGGCGCTGCAGAAGCGGTCTTACGGTCCCTAAACTGATGGCTAGCACCATCTATAGGGAAATTCCGGTTTCATACTTCTACACCTGGTACAGTTTCTTTCTTCAGTAGTTTAGTTAAGGGTCGCGCTATTTCCGAGAAGCGCCTATCATGCCCCCCTAATTTTATAAACGATTGCACGTCTCTGACTTTTGTCGGAATAGGGAAATTTGTCATCCCATGTAACTT